CTGTGCACATGAACAGGGGCAGGAGGATTGGGTCTGTTGTCTTCTACTCCGTTCTCTTTGATCCTGCAAGCGTACTGTCTGCCAAGGTCGCATCAGGCTGCAAAGGCGCTTTTCGCCGCTCTGTATGATCTGTGTCTGTCCTTTATTTATTCAAAATGTGTTTGCCTCTACAATTTAATCTGCTACTCTCTCCCTCTCCTTCCTCTTGGTCAAGCCTAATTACAGTTTTATTCCAGGTCCATCTGGTTGCTAACGATGCTGGACATCACCACTGAATTCATTCTAATATTTGTTGTGTATTTTCTAGGCTGGACGCTGAATAATAATATTCTCTGAATTTGCTTTTGCTCCTGTTTCCTTCCTCCCTGTTGTAGCTAATTGCATAGTAATGCATAGCCATAGGATGATGCCTCCTTCCAGTGCAGATCTGCTAAGAGTTGCTCTTTCAGGCTGCAAAATAAAGGTGGTTTGGGGTTTTTTTTCTGGTTCTGAGGAGATTTCAAAGTCCACTCTACCAGCTAGTAGCTGGGCAGCGGCTTTCTCTGCTTCATCTTTTTTTCTTTTTTTTCTTTTTTTTTTTCCATTTTTCCTGCCCCAAACATAACACAGTTTATATCTGTGAGTCTCAAAGCATCCCGGAGACAGCGTTTCAGCGTTTAGAAAGATGCTTTTGCCAGTGCCTCCTCCATGCTGTCGTCAAACTCACAGTAATTTCAGGTTCCCAAGCCTGGCTTATGCAGTGCCAGTGCTGGGATTTTTAAAATTTATTTTTTTTTCTTTTCTCCTTTTTGCTTTTTGCAACACTGCCTGGGAACACAGACTCACACTTTACCCATGACCTGACTCTCTGGCTAAGAATAGCAGTCGCAGTGCAACTTGGGTTCAGTCTCACTGGAGACACACTGCAGCTGGGAAACAGGGAGGTCAGATTAGCCCGTGCTCACAAAACCAAACACATAAAAGGAGTACGGAGGATTTTGTATGTTTGCCTCCTTTTAGGGACTGCAGAACAAAGGGAAGAGGTTGGCCCAGGTGTTGAGTCAGCCAAGATAAGTTTTCTTTGCTCGTCACATTGACTTGCATAGGAAGTTTGCATACAGAAGCTCACCTCCTGGGCCGAACAAGACCTTTTCCAAAAGGGTCCTGTATCCTTATGGCCCATCCAGCCAAAAGTCATGCAGGATGGGGACAGCAAGCAGTGCTGGTTAGCACTTCCTGAGCTCTGCTTAGGACGATAAGATATTTGAGACGACCCCCGCAGTAATTCTGCACAGCATAGTGAAGGTGTGCGTTTAGCACGTGTTGGTGGATCTGCCACAGCTTGTCCTGGACAGCTGGTGTTGCAGTGATGCTGTGACACTGTTTTTAGCACGAGTGAGCAACAGGTCTCACTCTGAGTGCATGTTAAAGCCGAATTTGCTTCCATTCTTACCCTTCTTGGTGGGCTGCGCCAGCACATGCTACATTCACACCTTCCTTTTGTGGTTCCAGATGTGCTTTCAGAGTGACAAAAATACCAGTCCTGCTCTGTATTTTTAAGACAGGAGCTAAAGCTTTTCTAATAGGAACTGTTAGGCTAATGACTGTCTTGGCTAATGACAGCCACTCATTGTGGCTGGCTAAAGATAAAGGTGACACCCAGCAAGGTTTATATAGCACACGCACAGCTCGACTGTGCCCTTTGCTCCATCGTGATACGGCAGCCAGCTGTTCCCAGCGCAATTCCCGTTGCATCTGGAACACGGTCTGGTGGATTGATGTTCACACTGGCAGAAGGGGAGCCGTTTTTTGAAAGAACCCTATGACACCATTCCTGTACTCTTCCCCCAGCCAATTCTATGCCAAATGGGGAAGGGTGCTGTTGTTGCTAGTAATCGGAGATGTCTGGAGGAGCTGGTCCTGCAAGCCCTACTCCTGGGAGCAGCCATGCTCAAAGTGCTCTACGTGGCTTCCCTTCACCCCCCGTCCCAGTCAGAGGGGAGGGGTGGCTGCCCTGGGATCACATTAGCTGGAGAGGGGCTGCTGACAGAAGTCAGGGATCCCAGGACTGGGCTACAGATTGAGACGCAACAAGTAGACTTAAGAGGAAAACCCCTTGACGTGTCAGGGCAGTAATTCTAATGGTAATTTTGAACTGTTTTTGTCTGTCTAACATTCCTTTTTAATCCCCATCCTGCCTGCCCCTTCCTTATGTAGGGTTACTTTAGTGATCCTTGGAATGTTTTTGACTTCCTCATCGTAATTGGCAGCATTATAGACGTCATTCTCAGTGAAACTAATGTGAGTATTACTCTACCCTCCCCAGGATACCACCACCTCCTCCTCCTCTGCTGTTCCTTCTCTCTTTCTCTCTCTCTTTCTCTCTCTTTTTATTTTTTTCTGGGTTTTTTCCTTCTAGTCATGCTTTTATTGAACTTGCCGTCGTCCTTCTCCTTCTCCCAGGGAAAAAAAAAAAAAAGGAGGGGGGGAAATGCCTCCTTCTTTTTCACTTGTCATAGCTCGCCCCAAGGCTGTGACTGGTGAAAGCGCACAGAGTTTGGGGTGTGTGTGCTTTTTTCCCCTCCAAAAGGTAGACATGCTTGAGTGTAACTTTCTGACTAACCAGGCTTTTGTTGATACCCTCCATCATGTGAAACGTTACAGAGGTTTGAGCAACCAATACTGTAGAGTGGTAAGAGACTATTTAATATGCCCACGTAACCTCTTTCTTTTCTTATTTTTTCCTCTTCTCTCCCTCTTTCATGCTTTTTTTCGTTTGTTTTGGTTTTTTATTTTATTTTATTTTACTTTTTCCTTTTTTTCCCCTCTTTTCTCCCTTTCCCTCTCTCTCTCCCTCTCTCATTCTTTCTTTCTCTTCCTTTCTCTCTCTTTCTCTTTCCTTGGCTTCTCTGCCACATGCAGCACTATTTCTGTGATGCATGGAATACATTTGACGCCTTGATTGTTGTGGGTAGCATTGTTGATATAGCAATCACCGAGGTGAACGTAAGTAGCTGGCGTCTGTCCATGATCGTGCCTGCTCTAACATTCATTTGTCTTTCCCGGGTTCTTTTTTTTTTTTCCCTTCCCCTTCCTCCTTTCTTTTGAGGTTTTTCTCAGAGCTTTGCATTTAGTTTTGAAGCTCTCTCTCTCTCTCTTTTTTTTTTTTTTTTCTTGCCCCCTTTTATTCTGTTTTAATTTTTGGAACGACTTAAAGGACTTTTTGACTGTTGCATTTTCTTCCCTTCATAATCCGCCTGGCATGAATTAAACTGTATAGCAGGAAAAGTGATGGGAAACGTGGAGTGTAAGTGAACAAGCTATTTGTGCCATGGGAAGCTGCTAGAATAGTCCCAGGCCAGCACTTTGGTCTACCCAGTGTTATGCTTTGCTTCCCATGGCAGTTCAATACTCTCCACCCCACAGATATCTAAAGGTCAGTTCTTTCGAGGTGGAACTGTGGGAACCAAACCAAGAATCCTCCCTGTGCCTCCTCACCCAGGCTTCCTCAGAAGAAATAAAGAACAAATCATCTCTGTTTAGAGGAACCTGCTCCTAATGTTTAGTTTTCTGATTTGAAAAAGGGTAGATAAAATTAAAAGAAAACAGAAAGCCCCCAAAAAAACTAAAGCACCAGAATTTCAATGCAGTTTTTTCGGTTTGGAACCCAGTTTTCTCCATCTCACAAATTCCACCAGCACAATTGACACTGATTGGCCCCACTGGTGCCCATCTCAACAGGCGGGTGAAGGATTGAATGAGCCACGGAGACTGAAATGAGCAGCTGGTGTTCAAGGAATAAATCACATCAGGCAAACTTTTTCCTCTGTCTTTTTTTGGAGGTGGATGGATACAGATTTACAGGATAAATAGACAAAGGACAGCCAGGAAGCTCACAGATTCCCAAAAGAAAGACTACAAAGGACCCAATGGGTTTATGAGCACAGACACAAATTTCACTGCAAAATCCAGCTTAGTAAGGCCAGGAAAACACAGAGATTGAAAGGAAGTTGCTGTAAATATGTTAACGAAGAGCAAATCAATCATGAATTCGCAAAATGATGTGGCTGTTGAGTAAACGCTCCAGCTTGGAATACTGTAGAGGCAGTTTATCACAAGCAAAAAAGTGGCAGCAAAGTTTTCACTCAGTGTTGTGTTTAGGGAAAAATGTAGGCAACATTTTGAAAAAAATCAAAATGTCTTACTTTGAACTTTCCGAACAAAATGTTTTCGTATCTTGGTTCTAGTTTAATTTCTGTTCAACTTCAATTTTTCAATTTTGAAACAAGGACATTTATCCAAGTTGTAATATTTTGATTTAGAATAAATGAAATGTTTTATTTCCTTGTCTTTCGAGAGAATGGAAAACAGTCTCTAACTGAAAATGAACTTTTTTTAACATCTCTTAAATGTCCTGATTTCTGTTCCAATTTACCCCAGAATGTTGTAAACAATTTTAGTTAGCCTTTTACTAGACAGAAATTAGGATTGGACTGACTTTGTAGAAGGAAGTTACAATGATCAGCAGGCTGAAGTTGTTAATTTTAAACAATGAAATTAAAGCCTCTTTTATGCCACGCTTATCACAAGAAAACTAAATGAGGAACCTGGCAATAGCCTTCAGATTGTGGAAAAGTTCAGTTCTCATCCATTGAGGCAGAACTGTACATGATAGTTGAGGAAATAAATACAGTTAATAGGAGATAAATTATGCTAAACTTCAGCAAGACTTTCCTGACTGGTGTATTTAAAGCCACAGAAAAGTCTACCATGCAGAAAGGAAGGAAATCCTTGTGTTTCGCTAAATAAACGGAGGTCTATCATAGCCAGAAACTCTGTGCTGGAGGGAAAACCCAATGGATCCTTTTGAAGAAATTCCCAGTAACTTCCTATAAATGAAAGAACTTTTGACATCATGGTTTCAGACACTTTGATATACATCTTATTAAACTTCAGTCGTCTGAGAGAAAGACAGCCAGGCTTCCTCTTAGAGTTAGCGGTGAGAAACGCACACCTCCCCGAGCCAACTGGTGCCTCCCTGTATGTGTCCATGACAGGGGAAATGAATTGCTCTTCGGAGGTGCCCATCCAGTGACTGGAGAGTGTCTGGGTCTGTTAGGTTTGTCTAGACACCCAGCTCTCAGAAGCTAAATTTAAGCAGGATAAATCACATTCATTATCAGCATGTTGTTGAGAAGGTCACGCCGCTGCTAATTGTGCTGCATTCAGGTCTTCAGTCTCCAGGGCTATCCATACTGGTGTGCTCAGTTGCCACTGGCAAGCCTCCCGCTCTTTTCCATTCCCCATCTGAATTCAAGTTCATGTCAGCCAAGGCCCAGAATCCAGTTTTTGGTTGCAGAAGTCTATGAAAAACGAGAGTGTGCCTCTGTCCAAACAACCGTCACCTGTCTTTGTTGAGGAGGCCGCAGGAGCAGCCCTGACTTTTTCAGGAAGGGTTATGAAGAACATTTCATGGTGGTCCCTCTGTTTCCTCTAAAGAATCCTTTCCTTCTATACAGTTTTGACAGATTTCTGCACACGTCTTTCTGTTACCTGGCATGTTTAAATCTTCTCTTTTTATCTAGGCAAGTCCTTTGCTACTAGTTTCTAATGTTTGTTACTAAAAACTTGCACAATCTTTCGATGCACTGATAAATGAGCAGCACCTATGGATGGAGTTTGTTCTGAAATGTTCTGAAATCCCTTTGCACTTGTAACCCTTATTGAATAAGAGAATGTTTTGTATGTTGGTTTGTCCTGTCGGATTCCCTTCCCGCTAGCAGCACTTGATACGTTACATCTGTAGCAGATGGGCTTTGGAAGTAGCAGCCCATCTTGGACGGACGGTTGTCACCTTCCCAAGCAGTGTGAGGCAGTTTTTCAGATACACTTCTCCCCTCCTACTCAGGAGCTTGTGGCTTTCTTGCTGTTTGTGGGTTTGAGCAAACCCTGCCTTGTGTTTCTGTACACTGTCTTGTCTTGTTCCAAGAGACCTGGAATCTGAAAAAGGAAGAAAAAAGAAACCCTAAAATGCCAATAAACTCCACTAATTGGAGATGTTTAGCCTGGTCAGGTGCAGGTAAGATGTTTCTGCCCGACTCCTTAGAAGCTGAGAACATTTGTGGTAGAGTCTTGGAAGGTGCTGCTCTGGGAGCTAAGGGACAGTTGTCATTGTGGTCAGTTAGGGAGGATGGAGACACCTAGCACAGGTTAGTTTGACATGCCACCATAGACATGAAAGCCTGAAATCTCTGTGGGGTCCACCAGATGTTTGCACTCAGGAGAAGCACACCCAGCAGGTGCTGAGCTGCCAGAGCCATGGTTGCGGTGGGAAGCCTGACTGACGGGCTCCACAGTGTGCGTGTAGGTGCACCCTTGCATCCATTTGTGCAGTTCCCCATGCTCTGTTTTTCTCTTTTGACAATTATTTTTGTTTCTTGAAAAGGAATTTCCCAGACCAAAACCTTCGTTAAGACGTATGTGAGTGTGCACGGGTGGGTCTTTGTGTGTGTCCTCCATTGGTTATAGTATACGTTCTTGAATGTGTCTGGATACCTGTGTATGGGCTTCAAATCCATGGGAGAGCGTACAGACACGAATCCATGTGTGGAGGAGACAGAGTGTGTATGCAAGCATACGTATTTCATACGTATTTGTGTTGTGAACGGCTGTCGATGGAGACACATGGGTTGGTGAACATGTTTTCTCAGCCAATCTGCCTATCTTACTGTGCAAGTTTGACCTGCTTGCAACTGGGGGTTTATATCTGAGTCTCCTGTATGCAGGCATGTTCATCTGCATGCCTGTGGGTGAGCGTGCACTCGCATGTCAAGCTCAGCATATTCTCGTTAGCATGGTTGTGCACTCAAAATTAGCAAGAAGGCATGTACTATACTCATGAGGTAGGCCCCCAGGTTGCCTTCAGCATCCCTGAGTCCTGTAGGAAGCCTCCACCAAAAACACCTCCATGGCATGGAGATATGTCAAGTGATAAGTCCAATTGCAGCACATAAGGCCCACTTGCTTACTGCAAACTGGGAACATAGAATCATAGAATCATAGAATGGTTTGGGTTGGGAGGGACCTCAAAGATCATCTAGTTCCAACCCCCCTGCCATGGGCAGGGACACCCTCCACTACACCAGGTTGCCCAAAGCCTCATCCAACCTGGTCTTGAACACTTCCAGGGATGAGGCATCTCTACAACATCTCTGGGCAACCTGTTCCAGGGCCTCACCACCCTCAGAGTGAAAATTTTTTTTCTTATATCCAATCTAAATCTCCCCTCTTTCAGTTTAAAG